TATTCATATGGATCAAGAACGTCGTCATTTGTACCCTGACCCGCTGGGGCTAGACGGCGAAGGGATACGGTTTCGACTTTCCCGGCCCGATGAGGTGTGTGTGTAGTGTGGGTTGCAGTTCAGGAGGTCGACTTTTGCCAGAGATTGATACTTGGATGACCCATCGCCTCGTTGCTGCAGAACTGGACCAGGGGTGGTCAACCAAGTTGGCAACGATATTCCAAATGTTGCTCGACGTGTGCATTGACTCAAACGTTCATGTTGTGTACCGTTAGTAGCCGCACATAATAATAATCGGGGGCTGTGTAGAGCATCAGAGAGTAACGATTCCTAATGGGGAGGCTTATTGTTTTCCAGAGGGTACCGTTTGGTGAACTGGACCGTGGTCAACCAAGTTGGCAACGATATTCCAAATGTTGCTCGACGTGTGCATTGACTCAAACGTTCATGTTGTGTACCGTTAGTAGCCGCACATAATAATAATCGGGGGCTGTGTAGAGCATCAGAGAGTAACGATTCCTAATGGGGAGGCTTATTGTTTTCCAGAGGGTACCGTTTGGTCTTTTAAGATGACTATTGCATTGGATTATAAACCGATGTATGACTCAGCAACACCTTTCTCCAGAAGAAAGCTATTGATCTCTCACGGCATAAATGGTGGGCCTCAGTTGGAATGGATATAGGTTCGCATTCCCAACCAACAAAAGTTGTGTGAGACAGTCAATCACAGTTGCTGAGGTTATATCCTTACACGCAAATTCAAATGGGAATCTGGAGAACTCGTCACTTATCGTAGGTATCAGCTGCCTGTATTAGATGGCAGGGGACCTTTAAAATCCAAACTCAGGCGCTCAAACAGTTGTGTTACTTTAATGAGTCTACCACGAGCTTTCCAGAATCTTGGCTTCAGTTCAGCACACCTAATGGGAGAAGATAATGTGTTTGACATCATCGACAGAGTGGGGGAGATTCTCGCAACGCACAAAATTAAACATACGAGTAATGCCTGGATAGCTTAGGGAGTTATGGAACTCTCCAAGTTGCTTTATGCTTCCCATGGATGTATATAGGTTTCATGACAGTGTCGGCGACATGGTTGTCCTTGCTAGGTCGGTATATGACGTCATACCTGTACTCGGACAACCCAATCCCCCAGCGTTGTATTTTGCCGTTTTTTCATTTTTCTCTGTATCTAACGGAAACACAAGTTTAACCTGTCGTTCGACAGGATAGCTATGTAGACTCCATTGTGACGGGTGAGAAAGTTGGGTAAGTTTCTTCAGTCATGTAGTTTCACGATGTTAGAACTTATGGAATTACAAGAACTTCCTCTACCGTCCAGAACACGGAGAGCGGTGCCAGTGACTTCGATAGTTGCGATGGCACGTGCCAGGCAGGTAGATGCTGCTGCAACGAATAATGATAAAGTGGGCTTCATGTACAATTTGTATGGAACTTCGTGTTTCTCGAACGTCGCACGTGGCGGAAGTGACTGCGTTTGCCACACAGACTACAAACGGCTTTTTGAGCGGCGCAATTTGAACGGTGTCTATCATACCCGTAGAACTAACGTGCCGGAACAAATTTTACAGAAGCAATGGTCGGATCGACACGTAGTTCGGGATTCTGTGGAATGGGCGGAATCGTAGAGCGGGATATAGGTTCCTTACTAAAATATGGCTGCGAGCCAACTCGAGAGATCTCTCATACTGATATGCTTGGTCCAGAGTGAGTTATCTTTGTGCTAGAAGTGTTTCGCTGATACGCGTGAATGCCAAGCTATTGGTTATAGCATCACTCACGTACTCATCTTGATTTCAGTTGCGGATACCGATTTTAACTCAGTGTTTGGCTGATGGTTTCAATTTTCGTACGGACCGATCACTATCCCGTGGGCGCGAGATGGCCCAAGTGGTTGGAGCGAGAATTAACTGACCGGAAAATCCGTGGTGCGAATCCGACCTCCGCCACTCGACCTCCCCTGTCTAGGCTTGGGCAACCTGGCAGTATCCCAGCCCTCGTGCTTCCTTCGGGTGGCATGGTAGCTAGGCACCGAAAGGGTGCTACAGCTGAACGCTTATCCCGTCCATTCTCTTGCTTATAGGTCTGCAGCAGTTAGCGTACATGCATGGCATTTTTTGGGTGGACATATAATTTTCGTAATGTGTCGTTCGCAGATTCATAGTTGATGTAATCAGCAATGTGACTATACCAGCGGATCCAGAAAGTAGATCAGAGCTTTGGGTTTGTCAGGTTTAGGAGATTCGATGGATTTCAGACGCGTCGAGGGTACGAAACCAGCGATTCCAGCGTTTTGCTGCTTCTGCGGAGTTTGGGTTGGCGTCGAAGAGCCGAGGTCGTAGCTGCCGTCACGAAGATACTGGAACTTATCGTGGTGTGGCCGTTTGTGTATCTTGTCGACCCTTTGAACTATACGTGAGAGGTGTCCGCGCGATACTGACAGTCTCTCATACCAGGTTGGTCAGTGGGTAGAGGTGTGACGAACGCAGTCTCCTGGCCCTCCAGGTTGGGAGTTGGAACATATGTGGCGACGTGTTCCCTAAAAATGCTAATGTACTTGTATTTCCAGTCCAACATCGATGCCTTGTGGTTACGGAAAAACATCCAGCATCATCGACTGCGATGGCTCGGTCATGTGCTACGCATGCCGAAACACCGTCTACCGAGACGAGTGTTGTTCTCCGTGCCTCCTTCAGGATGGCGCAAACCGCGAGGTGGCAACTTGAAATAAATGTGGCATGCTAGTTCTATTTCCCCTCCTCATCCACTTTCATTCTTTTCTTCACAATAAGGCTTTCAAATAAACCATGGCTGTACGGCAGTGAAGTGTCGGTGTTGAACACTGATGTCATGCTGTCGATGGTGATGATGATCTTTTCACTCTAGGACATATATATATATGTATATATATATATATATATAATGTAACTAGACAAACCTTATGGTTGTACGGCAGTGAAGTATCAGTGTCAACAATGATGTTGCTGCCTTCGATGATGATGATGCGGATCCATTGCGTTCTTAGGCAAGTCAATTGAGACGTTTAGAATGTATCCGAGAACGAGTTAGAACAGAGCCCGGGTTATCGAGGATAGACGACGTTTTACTTGTCTAAGGGCAAGAGTGGGTGAGCTGAAATGTACATACAAAGGTCCAGTACGAGTATATAGGATGTCATCGTCATCACCATCGACAACATAACACCAATGTTCATCACCGATGCTTCACTGCCGTACAACCATCATTTATTTGAAAGCTTTATGGTAAAGAAAAGGGCAAAGGTGGACGGGGAAGGGACTTCGTGCTTGCTTACCACAATCATTCCGAGGTGCCTACAGACATTCACTCAAGCAATCTGGATAAAAACTGACAACAAGAACGCCACTGACATCGGTTGGCAGCCATGTCTTGTAGTGTCTCCAAACAGGCACAGTGAAGATCACGCGGTCCCCATCCTGGAAGGCGAGCAGCACCGACAGCACCCAAGCGTTTCGTGATCTCCTTCATACTCCTCTGCCAATTCAAGGGTTGGCCACCTCTCTGTTTACGCCACTCTGAGTTGGGCATGGAAAACAGTACTCTCTTCGGGAAACGATGGTTCGGCATACGCAACATATGTTTCAACTAACGCAGCTTCTGGTGCTGGACACATTCTTCATTGGAATTCCCCGTTACAACCGAAAACGCGTTTTCGAACTGCCTCATTACGGATTTGCCGACACCAACCCACATGAGCTATGGTTCTGAGGCAACGATTGTCGAACACCTG